CTGTTCAACAAAGTCGGAGATGAGAATACATCTGGTGCTGGTGATTGATTTCATGATGCTGCCGTGTTCAGGTAATTTATTCAACACTTGTTAGAAAAAAAAAAGCCAATATGTCTTGATAGACTTTTAATAGGGAACGTTTGATAGTGTGTAAAGGTTTAAGATTATTAACCTTTAAACATAAACTTAAACTACTTTCATGTTGTACTTTTAAAAGAAGCACGTATTGGATTGTTTCACAAACTTTGTGTAATCCAGACCAATTCACACACAAATGTGCATGAAAAAATGATTATGTGGTAAATAAGCTGAAAGTTTACCAGAAAATGTCAGGGATTGTTGGAGTGTGTGTGCATTCGATGTATTTGTCTTCCTCAGCCCTTCTGAAAGAGTCTGTAAAGTCAGAGGAGCTTTAGTGAGAAGCCGGCAAACGTGATTGATATGGAAACAGGGACTTTATACACCTACTCGTCCTGTTTCCTTGACCCAGACTTCTCTGCTCCCAGCTAACCTGCAAAGCGTGTATCTACTGTCTTTCAAATCTCACAACGCAGAAGATCTATCTCCCCAGTTTGTGCTTCTAAATAAAACAAGAAATCACAAACCTGTCTGCCCCTCTATAATCACAAGCCCGGGCAGGTTCTGTGGTTCAATAAGATTATTGACAGCTCTCTGCTTGAGAACAAGTGGACAGTCAATCAGAAAACCCACAGCTTGATGCCAAAGTCACATAGATAATAAAACCCACAAAGTCTCACAGATAATAACTTTGCCATCTTCCTGTCCTCCAGATTGATGCACTGGACGCAATTATTGAACAGCAAATCCTACCTTAATTTATAGCATTAGGGACATAAAATGATAACTTCAATTACACCCCGGGCAGGAATGGGAGTGAGTTAGGAAAAAGGAAAGAAAATCTGATGAGGTTCTCTGAAAATAAGCCAGTCATCCAGCAAGGACAGACATTAAAGACACGACTCCGAGGGATGCTGGATGAGAATGAGACACTTTAGGCTTTATGCGTGAGATGAATATTACCGAATAGAGTGAAACCACGTTTACTTTCAGTCTAAAAACCTAAAAAAAAAAAAAGTAGAATGCTACATATTTGACAAAGCAAGCCTTTTGGCATTTTACAAAGAAAAAAGAAAGAATCTATCATTTCTTCTAAATTCAAAGATTGGCTGACCTCTGAGTTATTTCTCACAGAACCATTAAAGGGGTTTACCATTGACTCACTTCACTATATTTATCTCCTATATACCATTTTTTCTTATTTTGACTCTCCTTTTTCCCCAGACAGATTCAGATGGGGAGCAGAATGAAGGATGAGTAGACCAGGGAGCTTCGCTTCATTCCCCCACAAAGTAAAGACACAGAGAGCGGGCGTGTGAATTAAAGATGACAGGAGTCCTGCTGCTCCTGTCTGGGCTGGCTAGGCAGAGCTGGACACTGCAGATGGAGTTCAGAGGCTGAGCACGGGAGACTAGCGGGACACTGCACGAGCATGCAGAGAGGAAACATGAAAGCAGCAGATGGATTTGTTTTCTTAGGGATGTTGCTGCCACTCTCTTCCCAGCAAAGACCATGAACACGCTGGAAAGACGTCCAACATTCCCATCAAATGTCTTCAAAAACCCTGAGATGTACAGGTGTTGGCAGATGATTACCTCATTTATCTATATCTTAAAAACATGCCACCATACAGTTCAGCCATTACCACAAAGGAGCTTAACATCTACAGAAGAAACTGATACCAAAATAAAAGCCTCTCTTGGTTTCAAACTCATTAATCGTATTTGTCTTATGTGTTTTAAGGTAAAATGTCATGGATGATGCAGGGTAAACCAGGATGTGGGAGGACTGGATGGCCCAAAGCCTCTGCTGTTCTGGGGTTACTCTGCCAGTGTAACTGCGTTCACCTGAGAGTTAGAAGCAGGAAAACCTCATCTCTCCCTCCACTGATCATGAAGTGCTCTCCACATATATGCTCCTGCTCACAGTGTGCCTCGAATAAAGAAGCATCTACCCTGCTCCTTAGTGGAGGTGCAGATGAAAAAGGCAGCTGACTACAGCAGGTTTTGTACCTCAAGGTTAACACTCACAGATGTGAGCCCATTCTGAAAAACATCCACATCAAGCGGCACTCAATTCGGCAGATTTCCAAGCACCCAGAGGACTCCAATTGTGTTCCAGAGCTCCTCCATCTGCACTCTTATGACAGTCCCTGTGAGGGACCAGACTTAACATTGACAAAGGTGTTCCAAAAATGAGAACATTTTCAAAAATCATAAACAAAAGGTCAAGCTTTAATACAATATAACTCAAATAATACATAACTCAACTGAGGTCAACTGAACAGCAACCAAACACTGACCTCCAGACACAGAACCAAGGCTGCTTCAATAGGGGGTGGACTGCCCCTAAACTTCCCAACATGAGGGAACAAAAGAGAAGTACAACAAAACACAAAACCTAACAAATAAAAGCTAAATCATATTTAACTTAATACAAATAAAAATATATAAAAAGGAAAAAATAATATAGGTCCTAGCTTAACTTAGCTTCAAAAATAACATTCCCCCTCCCTCATACTTTGGAACAATGGTGTGTTCCATGGCCTCCACCTCCACCTCCAGCTGGATTGTAATTGGGGCACTTGGTGGTGGTAGTAGGAGCCCCCCCCCCCACAGTCCCCAAGAACTGGACTTTTTCTGGCAGCCATTTCCAAACCCTGTCTTCAGCTTTTACAACTCATCAAGCATTCTGAGCGGCCCTCCTAAACTCCTCGGTATCACAGCCTGCTGCTCCAGATCCTTTAGCCGCCTGTCTCTGCTTAAGTCAAAATCAATACGAGGATGCTACCGATGATGAATTCTGATCAAGCTGATGCTGAACTCTCTGATGTCTGTAGTACAATCCTTAGATTTATTCAGGAAGTTATCGTTTTTCTTATTGAGATACTAACCTCAAAATACCTTTCTTATACAGATGGTAAAGACTTTATTAGTTGTGTACGTACTGTAATGTGGTCTGTAAATGGCAGGACAAGCCAAACTGATGACAAGTTCTTTATGATTATTCTTTATATAATAACAGGAGGGCTTCGTCAAAAATAGCCATGAACCAAAAGAGAAAAGATAATATCCTTAACAGTTGAGGTCAGGGTGATGAAAGTGGAGGCTGAAGAAAGGCAAACTTTACTCAGGTGGCTCAATAATGAGTTGACAAAGCCAGATGACATTTAAGGAAAATGTCTGAGTCCAAAGAATAAAGGAGAAAGACCAGCCGCCCATAACACTGTGTAACGGAAAATGGACTCCCCACACTTTCAACTAATAATTCCCCTCCGATATTAACAAAGCACATGCAAAAGCTCAAAGCAGGGCTGGATGTGGATACCCAAACCTCGGTGTCTGCGCATGGAGCTTTTCATGGGCAGCAACTACAGCTCCTGTTGCTGTTATTACTGTTATCATTATCAGTACTATCAATATCCACCATTTCTCTTCCAGTCTGTAGCAGCTTTATCTTTACTGTCTGTGTGTGTTACGGTAGACACTCTCTCTCTCTCTCTCTCTCGCTCTCTCTCTTTCTCCCTCACCCTTCACCCCCCTCCCCCATGGTTCTGCTCCAGGTTCCTTCCTTTTTCCTTCCCTGTGTCGCCCAGTGCTGTTTTAGGTGGGAATTTTGGGCTTCTGTAAATAACTCAGTTTGTCTGACCCGCTCTGTTTGGATATCCGTTGTTTGGATTTGAACATCACAGGACGCTATATAAATAAAGTTGAATTGAATTGAACCTAATGCAGCGGTGAGCAGATAGGAAAATCTGCTGTAAATATAGAAACATTCAGGCTCACTACTGAGATGTATGTGTGATTTAATGCAATGTAGCAGACAACTCCATGACTAAAAAGTGGATATTCAGCTACAAGCCAGCGGTAGACCATGTGTGTACTTCTCAGAGAGCTGTATTGCTAACAGAGTGAGTTCATTATGTTTGTATATGGCTGTCAGCATGTGAATGGGTTTTTCTGCCTGTATATTCTCCAGCTCTGTATCTACTGATGTGCATTTAAGTGAGTACCTTATTTCTGAGATGCAGTGTGCCCATTTTAATATTCAGATACTGGACAGGCCTCAGTGAAGTCAAGTCTGGCTTCATTATCCCATGCTGCTATGGGTACACACAGATCACAGGACACACACAGCCTCCTGCAGCTATATTTAACGTAGTGTGATGATCTGCGTTTTCTTTTTTAGAAATGGGACTGTTTGCGGTGATACTGTGTCTCGATATGAGACGATTTAGCTTTCAAACTTAGACATCTTGTTCAGTGCAGATCTAAAGAAGCTAAATTAAACAGTGCCAACATTAATTGGGTGTTGGCTGTGTTGCATTGGTTAAAGGACATTTTGTGGTGTACAGTAGAACCTCTACATACAAAGTTAATTCCTTCCACAGACTGCTTTGTATGTTAAAATATCCGTATGTTGGTTAAAATTTTCCCATGTAATTCACATTCGTTCCACAGCCCAATAACCTACAATAACTCCTTAATAAATACTGCAGATAATTACACATAGCAATAAAACAAATGCATTATATAAGAGAGATGAGAGATGTAACAATTATTAAATAATAAAAAATTATTGAAAAAAAGGGGTTTTATTGGCACTTTACTTCAGAGACAGGCGAATAGAGGTAGAGGTGGAGACTGATATTCAGGACATACCCTAACTTACTCTAACTTTCACTATGTGAACTTTAAACTAACTAACTTTATTATCATTTAATTTTGATATCAATTTTTTATTCTATGACTTTGACTTATGTTGGAAATTTACTTCAGGTGTCGAGTTGAATTTATGTTTGAATTTCACTTCATATGTTGGAAATTCATACAGTATGTTTAGGCAATCGGAAGTAGAGGTTCTGCTGTATTTCTGATTGGGGAAAAAGTGGGACGAAAGGCGACAGGCGGTTTCTGTTTGGTTCATTTTTGGTTCTTAATTACTCTGAAGAAGCCTGGACCCTGTGGTCTACTCACCCTGTCCTCCTCCTCTCTGAGGTCTGGCATGGTGCTGATGCACAGGCTTACCACGGTAACGGCCACCATGATTACTGAAAAGAAGGCGAAGATCTTCCCTGGTAAGCCGGACTGCGGATTCTCCACCATGTCTCTCAGCCAGTTCATCACTTTCCTGTACTTGGTCTCTTCCACCGGCGCCCGCTGCATGGCGTTCCTCTGCCGGCTCTCCTCCTCGCGCCGCTCTTTCTCGTTGACCTCCTCTATGCGCGTGTACATCCTCCGCTTGCAGCAGCGCTCCATGTAGGCCATCTCCACGCCCCAGTAGTTGAGCTCGTCGTGCAGGGAGAGGATGCACATCTCGCGCAGCAGCCGCAGCTTCCCCGCCGCCAGGAAGTTGAGGATGACCCTGAAGGCGGACGGCGAGCGGTCGAAGAAGAACTCCTTGCGGGCCTCGTCGTAGTCGTCGCACACGCCGGCGATCTCCTCCAGGGAGCGGCAGCCGCGGAGGCGGCCCAGCCGGGTGAGCGGGAACTGCTCCAGCGTGCTCCAGGGGAAGGTGTAGCGGTTCCCCCCGACGTTGATCACGGCCAGCAGGGCATGGTCGACGGACAGCAGGTCCTCTGGCCGGCGGATGAACTGAGCCCTCTTGTAGTAAGCACCCTGAAGAAGGAACACAAAGGTGACAGCTTGAAGGGATTTCTGATACTCAATTGTAGAGTTGTTAATTTGCACGTTTAACTAGGGTGGTTAGCACCATCACAGACTAGTGCTTTATGTCCCTCTCTGCCATGATAGTTTTCCAAAATGGCGGATCGCCATGGAAACATCCAGTGTATATATAGATAGGAAATTCTTTGCTTATGAGGAGAAGTCAGATCATTGCAGAGGTCATTTTACACCAAATGAGGACACATTTAGAATTGAAGACAATGATTTTAGCTAATAAATACTCAAAATACTACACAATGTCCCTTTAAGGGGATTTCTGTGACTCAGTGGTGGAATTATTAATTAGCATATTTCATTAGGTTATGCTGTCATTTCAGCTCACAGACAGTCAGAGTCTTACCTTGATGGTCTCGGTCTCGGGGATCTCGGTGAAAATGCGGTCCAGGCTGCTGTCGTCACTGACAGACAGGTTGCTGAAGTCGTGGTGTGCGTTGCTGATGATAGGCATGGCGGCATTTGGAGGGCGCGCTGCTCCGGGGTAGGCAGCTCAGACCAGCTTTAAACAGGTTCTGCAGACGGTGTCCTCTTCAACTTTCAGCGGCCCTTAAAAGGACTTCTACTACTGTGAGCAGGCTGGCAAAAGACGGCTGTGCCTTGGGGTTTTTTTCTCTTCTTCCTCCCGTTAATGTCAAACTTTTGTTTCACAGTGACAGATAAGGAATGGCTTTGGGAGAGCAACAAATCCAGAACGAAAACGGGTGGAGAAAGGCCCAAAGCCTGCAGACATAAGCGAATGCGCTTAAGTTTTGATGTCGTTGTCAGCAGACCAAAACAGATTCTGTTGCAACGGCGAGATTCACCGGGAGCTCAGAGGGAAACTCTGGTCTGAAGCCAGAGTCTGGAGAAGAAAAGCCGGGATAAACAGCCTGACTTAGGATTGATTTGTGGCTGATAGCGGGGTGAGTCAGGGAGCCGGATGCCTGGCGCTGAGGTGTCCAGGGACTGAGGGGGGGATCCTCTGTGTCGCCTCAACAGGATTAGGGAGGGCCTAGACATGTGGCGGCATCATGCTGGCACTGGGAAAGAAATCCAGAGGAAAATGTCAGAATAAATTCATAAGAAGGCAGGTGACTCAGTAGAGTTCAAAACATTGAGAAAAATCTGGACGGACAGGTTAAAGAACGGAGGTGGAAAGGAAAAGTGCATATTTAAATGGGCCTGCTGGGCTGAAAGGTTCTTCCTCCTCTCTAACAAACAAGACCGACACGTAAGCTCTACTGTCAGTGATAGCATAGCGGTCTATGCTAAAGCTAAATGGACACTAACAGGATTTATACTTCAAATCAACCTCCAATGAGCACAGTCCGCCTCACTTACAGGGGAGCTGGAAATGTTTGAATAGAATAGAATACTTTATTGATCTCACAGTGGAGAAATCTACACATTACAGCAGAAAAAAGGGAAAAAGGTCAAGCACAATGGAGGCAAAAATAAATAAATAAATAAATAAATAAATAAATAAATAAATAAATAAATGAATAATGATTAAATAAATGCTATTTACAATACAACAAAAACCAATAAAGGTAAATTACAAGTGAGCGTTATCAAAAATTAAAAATATGATTATTAAAATATTAAAATAAGTTGAACACCAAATTACCAATTGACTAATTTACCAATTTACTACTGAGGCTGACACCATGGATCAGGTATAATGATATAACATATATAATAATAATGACTGGAAATTACACTTGGGCTGCATAGTGTTATTCACACTCATTATGAAAGAATGCCTTTTGTAAATGGACTGCGAGTCTAGTCAAAGACACTGGAATGCAAAGCCCAGAAGGTTTTCTTGGCAACACAATTACCCAGAAACCTGACAGTTTGAATAGTTGAAGTTTCCCTGAAAGGCTCACAATGCATGAAGCATTGAATAGTTGTTCTCCTTTAATGTATGTGACATGTTGTTGAACCTTCAGGTCAGGTGTAAATGAAATAGCCGGCCTCAGAATCAATAAGTCTACTTTTTTGTGGAAGTGTTGTGAATTTTACCGTCAAACTCAACCAACACGCGGTTCAGTAACACCGAGACTGCTCACTAAAATCCCCAAAGCATCGAGCAGTATCACACATCCACGGGCAGACAGACTGAAGCACCCAAATGCATCATTAATTTAGATCCAGGAGGATAAGATCCTGTAGTGGAGGAACCAATAAATCACCTCTGTCTCGAAGCTAGTGTTTCATTTCCACCTCACAGGAAAAGGAGCATGTGATCAAGTAGTTATGAATCGATACACATTCCCAAAGGAAATGGCTTTCTTTTTTGTTTCAAAGAGTGGAGAATATGTTTTTAAAACACATTATGCCTGTATAATGGATTGGGATTTGTTCCTATTATTTCAATTTCCTTGTCCTATATGTATGGGCACAAATAACACATGAGGACGAAGATCAGACAATCTAAAAATAGAATTCAGAGTCTTTAATTGCATGCCTATTTCACATTGAAACAATAAAATAAGTAGCTTTGCTTACAAACTGTGAGGTGGAACCCAGGAGGGGTCATTATTGCCTACTACTTTTGAATAAGGCAATTTTGTAAGAAACACATTCAAAACAAAGAAGTGGAAAAAAACAAAAAAAAAAACTTGAGGCAGGTGGAGTTTATATGATGTTGAGTCTGAAATGTTACATTTACATATGCAAATTTGGCCTTCATTAGTTAAATATGAGCTAATGTAATACACTTCATCAAATCTGAACGACAAACTTGAGCATTTCAGGGCTTTTTTTGTTTTTGAGGGACTCAGAACAACACTTTATAATAACACAAGATAGCACAAAAAACACATTTTAGGAGAGAAATGTTCAATCAATTATTCAGGCAGTGAATGAAGAATACAAGTACTACGTCCAAACTGAGGATAAGAATGTGTTAACTATAACTTAGGGCTGGGAGGGAATAAATAGAAGGGAAAAACTTTGCCTGAGGTGCCTTAATTTAAAGGCTATTTCAGAGGCATGTTATCTTAAAGACTCAGGCTGTGAAATTTGAATGAATTCACAGTAACAGTAGATGTGATTTACGACTCGTTGGATGGAAGAAAATACACCAAACACGTTGGACCGCAGTTGCTCAAACACACAACACACACACCGACTGTGGGCTGCCTCTGTCTCTCGCCAAAGAACTTGGAAAATAAGGCGCACACACACTGGGAACAATCTGGCGCAGTTTTTTTTTCCAGAGCCTATAATAACGTCGGCTATTATAAAGTGGTGTTGAATTAAAATCATGCAAATTGTGGAAGATTAGTGGTGGGAAGCTTTTAGTCCAAGTCAAGTGTGGTTTCGAAATTGGGCTAATTCTACACATTAACTTGAAATGAATTCCAGCCCTGCAAATCTTCTGCTTATAAACAAACGACAGTTAAGAGTTATTGCAAAATAAGGTCACGTTAAAGTATTGCAACGATAGCAGGATTGAGCCGAGCCTATTCTTCATTTACCCAACTACTTCAGGATGAAGGGAAGCTGCACAAACAACACCCGCAGACCTCATCAGAACTTGGGGGGAAGCGCAGCTTACCGTCCGGAGCTCTGGGCAGAAGCCCCCTCTGTCGACGGGCAGACCCCCACCACCGCCGTCCGGCTCCACATCAGGGTCTCTGTCACCGCACGCGGAGCACCGGGGACCCCTCTGACATCCGCAACATCCGAGCCGCGGGGAGGCGGGGATGGTTCGGTGCTCCCAAAGTGTCCCGTTACAGTGCTGCAGGAGGAAGGGAAGAAGGAGGAGGAGGAGGAGGAGGAGGAGGCGGAGGGGGTGTCGGAGTCGTGGTGCTCCACACCGAAGACTCCCGGCAGCTCACCCAAGTTCAAGTTTGCGTAAAGGTGACGGCAGGCGCATCTGCGCGCACGAGCACCAGCCGCCATCCTCTGCGCAGGACGCCAGCAGGACTGTACGCGCAAAGAGACGGGAATGGGGAGAAAAAAAACAAACATCTCCTTTTGGGTAGATCATTTGAAATTTCAAGGACAAATAGGAGATACAATCTTCCATGTTTACTACTGTGGGCGCTTCGCGCGCAACAGGGGGCGCGGTTACCTCTAAAATTATCTCCAGGGTAGATTAAAATCACATTCATGACATGAATGATGAATTATCAGCAGAATGAATCACTGTGGTGAAGCTAGAAGATGTCTGAGGAAGCAAACCTTGTCACCTTTTTGATGTTTTATTATGTGCTAACTCATTTGAATCTGTCAAATGTGTTGGTTCAGTGTAGTACTTGATAGTAAAACTTCCTTTTTAATCGTCGAAAATATTGAGAGTAGATGGTTTATGGTCAAAAAGGTTGTTTTGACTGAATGTGGATGATGTGCAGAATCAAAAAGTGTTTTTTTCCGATTATTTGATTTTTCAGGATATATTTTTGGACACAACTTGGAGGGCAGCTAAAGATCCTGTTAACCTGATGCTCCATGGCTTCGTGCTAATGGATACTGGTTATGTAAAACAGCCTCTCTGTAATTCTAGTGAGCAGGGCCAGATGCTTTGACAGGAGGATAAAAACAAACTGCAGAGGGATGAAAACAAATCCTGTCCACAGATGTAGGAGGGGCAACAGCATATTTAAGAAACCCCAAACATCTGGCCAAACTCCTGACTCCATCTCTCTCTGTACAGTAGAACCACTACAGACGAATTTAATCCCTTCCAGGACGTACTTCAAATGTTAAAATATTGGTATGTTGGTTCAAGTACTCCCGTAAGAATACACTGTAATTCCTATAATTTGTTCCACAGTCCAAAAACCTACGATAACTCCTCAATAAATACTGCAGGTAGTTACACATAGCAATAAAACAAATGCATTATATAAGAGATATGTAAAAAGAAATAAATGATAAAGAAATAATTAATAAAAATAGGTTTTTATTAGCACCCTAACTTACTCTAAGTAGTTCAGTTTAAAGTTGTACGTGAACTTTAAACTATCTTAGTTTCTTTATTGTTATTTGATTTTAATTTAACATCACTTTGGGTGTTGAGTCGAATATTTGATCGAATTTCACTTCGTATTTTGGAAAATTCGTATGTTTAGGCGATCATAAGTAGAGGTTCTGCTGTATTTCAGTGTTCAAACTTGACTTTGAAGGCTGGGGTCAAACAAAGAAGCTGAGTCCAGAGAATAACATGCAACTATGCTTGCAGATTCATCTCCCGCTTCCACCTTTGAGGAGCAGCTCATTAGGCCGCGTGTGCCTGAGGGAACTGCTAAAGCAAGCAAACACTTTGTCCAGGTCTTTATGGCTGCCAGCAGAGCAGACAACACATTAGCGAGGGTACGGGTGGAAACTGGCCGAGAACCAAAGCGGGAAACCAGTTTGAGTCTGTGTGCATGTGTCTTCCAAGAAAAAGACACATGCAGCAAATTGAGTCCATCATTATTCATTAACCCGCAGTACGGGAGGGCTGGTTAGCGTGTTCAA